AGGGAGCCAGTGAAGGGAGGACAGAACTGGAGTAATATGTTCAGACCTACAAGTTTCGGTTAAAAGCCGAGCAGCAGCATTCTGGATGAGCTGAAGACGTGAGATGGAGGCCTGGCTGATCCCAGCATACAGTGCATTGCAATAGTCCAATCGGGTCGTGACAAAGGTGTGGACTAGTTTCTCAAGGTCGGGTCTGGACAATACTGGCTTGAGCTTAGCTACCTGTCTGAGTTGGAAGAAGCTTTTCTGCAGAACAGAGTTGATTTGTTTGTCAAACTTGAAGTCAGAGTCTAAAACCATCCCGAGATTTTTACCAGACTGCTTAAGATATGGCTGAAGAGAGTCCAGGTTGATAGGATCAGTGACAGCAATTGAGCTAGGGCTAAAGACAATGACTTCAGTCTTCTCATTGTTAAAACTTAAGAAATTTGAAGCCATCCAGGCCTTAATGTTGTCCAGACATTTTAACAGAGGGTGAATGGAGCAAACACTTGCTGGTTTCACAGGCAGGTAGATCTGGCAGTCATCAGTATAGCAATGGAATGAAAATGAAATGAATGAAAGTCCATGTTTCCTCAGTGGGACCCCAGTGGGAGCAAATAAAGTGAGAACAGAAGGTGTCCAAGAATCGAAACCTGTGGGACCCCGCAAGAAAGAGGTAATGAGGAGGATACATTATTACCAAACTTGACACAAAAACTCCTGCCACTCAGGTATGAGCGGAACCATTCTAATGCAGCACCTGTAATCCCAACCCACTGTTTCAGCCGTGATATAAGGATACTGTGGTCAACAGTATCAAAAGCAACAATAAGGTCCAGGAGCACAAGTACCACAAATTGACCAGAATTGTTTGATATCATAATGTCGTTACAAACCCTTACTAATGCTCCAAAAAAGTTCCATCTGGTCCTCTGGACATTAAAAAAAACCCAGAAAAACAAAACAAAGCAAAAAAATTGTAGATACGTTTCGTCTTTCATCCGAAAGACTTCCTCAGTCTGAGGTGCTGTATTCAGCTCAGTCTCTTAAATAGCACCTTCTCAGAGTGGATCAACCAGTTTGCTGCCGACAACCAAAACCAGCTGCTCACATGGTCAAGAAGGACCATCAGCCTAACAATGGATCATTAGCACACTGATGGCTGTTTACTATTCACAGGGGGTTGAGTGATACTAGCAATAACAGCAGTGTAAGAGGGGGACAGTTGAACCCGGAGGCCTCCACCCCTGTTTAATGATGGACGATTTCTTTTCACAAAGATGGCCTCCTTTTCTCCTCTCTCAAACCATTGTTCCTCTCTGTCCACGATGTGAACATCTTCATCCCTGAAAGAGTGACCTCTGGTCTGGAGATGAGTGTAGACTGCAGAATCCTGGCCTGATGATGTTGATCTTCTGTGCTGGGCCATCCTTTTGGCCAGTGGCTGTTTAGTTTCCCCGATGTAAGACTGATCACAGCCCTCCTGACACTGAATAGCATACACAATATTATTCTGTTTGTGCCGGGGGACTGGATCTTTGAGATGAACCAGTCTTTGCCATAATGTATTTTGGGGTTTAAAAGCCACTGGGACGTTATGTTTAGAAAATAAACGTCCCAATCTCTCTGATACTCCCTCAACATACGGAATGACCACTGGTCTGGGTTCCTCCTTTTCACCTGATGGCTGACTGGAGTCCTGTTTGGGTTTTTTCTCTGCTTTCAGGAAGGCCCATTTAGGATATCCACATTGCTCTAGAGCCTGTCTTGTGTAGGATTTCTCCTTCTGCCTGGCTCCTGAGTTAGTGGGGATGCTGTCTGCTCTGTGATACAGAGTCCTGATGACTCCTAACTTGTGCTCCAAAGGGTGATGCTTACAAATGCTGTTTCAGTGCTGTGGAGTTGCTTAAAACCAGATTGAAAAATCTCGAAGATTCTGTTGTCATTCAAAAACTTGTTTAATTGAATGAAAACTATTTTCTCCAGGATTTTGGACAGGAAGGGAAGTTTTGAGATTGGTCTGAAATTTGAGCAAGTCGAAGGGTCAAGTCCAGGTTTCTTAATTAACGGATGAACTACTGCATGTTTGAAAACATCAGGAACCACACTTGTCACAATACTACTATTTATAATAGTAAGAAGAGAGGGTCCAATCATGGGTAGAACTTGTTTGAAAAACGACGCAGGAATGGGGTCCGCAGGAGAACCGGAGGGTTTCATCTGACCAATGACTTTGTTAAGAAATGGGAGTGAAATGGGTTCAAACTGTTAGAAAACAGCTGAGCAAGGGACAAAGACAGAGGGGTCAGTTGTGGACTGGGGGATGGATGACCTAATCAACTCTACCTTATCAGCAAAGTATCTGCTAAAGTTGTTGCAGATGTCATCGGAGGCCTCCATGCTGGCAGACCGAGGCACATTTAAAATGGAATTTATCGTATTAAAAAGAACACGGGGATTATGACTGTTTGAAGCAATGATTTGGGAGAAGTATTTGTTCTTTTTAGATTTAACAATGCTCTGATAATCTTTCAGACACGTTTTTAACATAATAAAAGAAACCTGTAATTTGTCCTTTTTCTACTTGCGTTCAGCTCTCCTGCATAGACGTTTGGCTGCTCAAGTGGTCGCATTCAACCAGGGGTGTGGTGCCCACTTTGGTCGTCTGATTTTTAGCGGGGCCACGAGGTCTAAAATCTTGGAGCAGGTCGCATCATGCCTACTGAGCAGCTCCTGCATACTAATACAAGCAGAGGTTTCAGGGACTGAAGCAGCATCAGTAGTGAATGCAGAGGAAAAAAGAGCAGCAGTTGAATAGTTAAATATCCGACAACTCTTGGCTGGAGTGGGGGATTTAGACTCATGAATAACAGAGGTTTCGAATGAAATGGGTTTGTGATCTGAAACAATAGCATCCCCAATTTCCAGATTAACCACAGACAATCCATGAGACAGAACTAAATCAAGTGTATGGCCCTGTTGATGAGTTGGACCAACAACATTTTGCACAAGGTTGAAAGATTTAATCAGATTTTGAAATTCCTGCACTAAAGGCTTGTCAGGACAGCAAACATGTACATTAAAGTCTCCCAGAATCAAGACCCTGTTGTAATTGAGCAGTATTCCAGTAAGAAAGTCAGAAAATTCACTTATGAAGTTTTTGTTGTACGAGGGTGGTCTGTAGATCAGGCTGCACAGTGTTGGGTTGGAGCGGCCCAGCTCAAAATACAGCAGTTTAAAACTCTGAAAAGTTACAGCCTGTAGCTGTCTGCAGTTCCAAAGCTTTTTAAAAAACTGTTAATAATCCACCACCCCTACCAGAAGTCTTTGGAAAGGCACAATCCACTGGCAAAAGTTCAGAAAAAACACTTAACTCACCAGGGACGAGCCAGGTCTCTGTAACAAACATGAAGTCCAGTCCATTGGAGCAGAAAAAGTTGTTTAAGACAAAAGTTTTATTTGCCAGCGACCTCACATTCAACAGAGCAATCTTTGTAGGACCAGTAGCTGAAGGCAAAGCTGAGCACGGAGCACAGATCAGCTGTTTCAGATTTTTGGAGTTTGAACCGCTCCTCCTAGGACCAGAGACACCACAGTTGTGCACGCACCCACGGCGCAAGCCAGCCTCGACTACTGGGATCAGGCAGGACCCAGCAGGGTCAGCGAAGCACCCCGACAGGCGAATATCCAGCAGTTGGTCGGCAGGAGATGATGCAGCAGACAGTCCGGAGTTTGTTAAGTTCCACTGGAGATGACCAAAACCGCTGCGGCCGCCCACGTACCAGGCCTGGCTGCCTGAAGCAAGCTGGAGTTGAGTGGGTCAGCGAAGCATCTGGGTGGACAGTTTAATGTCTGATGGTCAGCAGTAGATGACGAAGCAGCAGAGAGCTTGATACTGGCTTTAATCCTCACGAGATGGCTGGCACATCTTCCACAGTGCCTGGAGCGATGTTTTCGCAGCGCGCTTCAGGTAAACCAGCACATCAACAAGCAGAGGGGGTGGGAGTCCAGAGCCCCGATCAAAGTGGTCAAACAAGGTGGGGTTTGCAGTAGATAACTGTATATTTAAAAGTTGTTGGCGATCATAAACAAGCAGTTAGTTGATGTCACCAAAGGAAAATGACAAAAACAAAAAAAAACCTATCAAAACAGACTGAGGTGAACGGCAAGCCACCAGCACCGGCGCCATCTTCCCGGAAGGAGGCCTCCGTGTTTTGTTTGTCTCTGTGTGGCCCTGTGATGGACTTGTGACCTGTCCAGGGTGTACCCCGCCCCTCGCACAGTGATTGCTGGACATGGGCACCGGCGACCACCGTGACCCAAAATGGAAGAAGCGGGTAAAAGATAATGGATGGATGGCATAAACAGCCCCAGTGGTCAGTGGAGCACTCAGTGCTGTGACCCTTAAACTGGAAAAGTGGCTCCAACAGGAGCAACTAGGAACAATCTCAAAGATCTCTGTCCAGAAGAGCACAGTCCTAAGAACAGCTAAGATACTGCACAGAACCCTCAAGTTCTCAGACTTCTGGTACAAGATCAGAGTTTGAAGTGAAGTGAATTGGAACCAAAAAATGTGGAAGAACAGGGTAAGCTGGTATATTATAAATACAGAAGCTTCCCTTTTCTAAGGCTCTATGGATGAGTCCAGTCACCTGAACTGAGGAAGCTCAGTTCATCTGCTTTTATCCTGCATCTCATTCTTTCGGCCATGATCCATGTCTTCTGGCCATACGTGAAGGCTGTAATAGGGAAGAAACAGTATCTTGAGAGTTTCACCTTTCAGTTTAGTGTCTTCTTTACCACAGCAGACTAGAGCAACAATGCCCTGTTTTTGACCCATCTCTTTCTTAATCATGCCATTATTCACAAATAAGACACCAAGATACTGAACTCTCCCTTTTGAGGCAAAAACTCAACCCTAACGTGAAAGGAAACAGGTGTTTGAAATGAATTTGGACCCATGTATCCATATGTCCAGAAAAAATGTAGTTCCATCTTTTTTAATGTCTCAATAATACCTGACTCTGCTACTTTTGCAATAGGAACACCTTGCTCATGAGCCATGAATCCCAGCACAGAGAATACTGCAAATCCAGCAACAATACTGGTACCACTGTTCAGCAAACACAGCCACAGGCAGTCTCTGAAAAACATGATAGCACAGCAGGAACTTTTTTTAATTTTTAGAATGTGTTGAATATGACATGATTCTGCTTTAAATGTTTGTTGAACCCATGTGCAGGCAGACAACGGGAGACTTCCAGGTAAAAATAAGTATGCTAAGTTTATTTAATGAACCAAATAAAATGCTAACAAGGCAGAAAAACTTACTTTAGGATGTAGACAACGTGAGGAACAGAATGAAACAGTCTTGACAGGATAATGCACAGACAAAAGAGGAAGACAGAGAGGCCGACTTTATACAGACACTGATGAGACAGAATGACATTCACCTGGGATGATTAGAATTGGAGACAGGTGAGACAGGAGCTGAACACATGGAAGAGGACACAGCTGAGTGTATAAAAACAATAAAAAAAACACAAAACAAAACCCAGAAACCTCCACAGAAATGGCACCTGAAATCCCAAGGAAAAACTACATACAACTTGGGTGGGAGGAGGGAGGAAACAAGGTGAAGGGCATAAAGGGAAACACAAGTGACCAAAAAAGAAAATATGGCAGTTAAGAACCTGGGTACCAAAAATACAAAAAGCCAAAGAACACCAACCCACAGAGTTACAAGTGGACAGCCATGAGACCGTCCAGAGTGGGACAGGAGTTCAGATGGGCAGCCCAGAGACTGTCCCAAATGAGGCAAGAGTTCAGGTGGGTGACCCAGAAACCATGCCCAATGAGGCAAGACTTCAGGCAGGTGGCCTAGAGATAATCCATAATGAGGCAAGAGTTCAGACGGATGGCCAGGATACCATCCAGTCTTGGGCAATTGCAGCATCCACCTGGAACCACTCCAACTTATGCTGGTGAGAAGTGAAGAGACCACTGGGGAGGCTACGGTGGTAGGTGGAGAGGCCACTGGGGAGGCTGCGGCCACAGGAGAAGGCTCTGGAGAGGCTGTGGCCAGAAGTGGAGAGGTCACTGGGGATGCTGTTGATACAGGCAGAGAGACCACTGGAGAGGCTACGACTACAGGGGGAGAGGCACTGGAGAGGCTGTGGCCTCAGGCAGAAAGGCCACTGGGGAAGCTGCAGATGCAGGCAGAGAGGCTACTGGGAAAGCTGTGACGGTAGGCAAAAAGACCATTAGAGAGGCTGTGGTTGCAGGTGAAGAGACCACTGGAGAGGCTGCGGGCTGCAGGAAAAGAGACCACTAGAGAAGCTGCGGCTGCAGGTGAACCAGCAATTCAGGCTGCAGCAGGCAAATCAGCGATGTGAGCTCAAGGCAGTGGCAAGTTTGTCAAGGGGGATTCAGCTGGCAAGTTAGATGAAGGGGCTGCAGCTGACGAGTCAGACAAGCGGGTTGCAGCTGGACCAGAAGAGCTGCAGATGTTGATGGAACCAGAAGAGCTGCAGCTGGTGATGGGACAAGCAGATCTGTGGCTAGTGAGGGGACCAGCAGATCTGTGGCTGGTGATGAGACCAGCAGATTGGCAGCTGGCAATGAAACCAGCAAATCTGCACCTGGAGATGAGACCAGCAGATTGGAGGTTGGATAAAAGACTGTTATCATTTTGCTGGGTTCAATATGGTCTGTGCATTCTGATATGATTCTGCTTTAAATGGTTGTTGAACCCATGTGCAGGCAGACAATGGGAGACTTCTAGGTAAAATGAGTAATTTAAGTTTATTTAATAAACAAAACAAAATGGTGACGGGGCAAAAAAACTTACTTCAGGAAGTAGATGATGAGAGAATCAAAATAAGCGTCATTATCATCGCACCCAGATATAATGAGAACATGACGGCCTTGACAGGATAATGCACAGACAAAGGTGGAACACAGAGATGCTGACTTTATACAGACACTGATGAGACAGAATGACAAACACCTGCGATGATTAAAATAGGTGAGTCAGGAGATGAACACAAGGAAGATGACACGGGGGAGTGCATGAAAACAATTAAAGAGAACAAAACCCAGAAATCCCCACAGAATATATTTCTAATGCCCTTCTTAATTTTTGCTTTGGTAAAACTGTATGGCAAAATATGGGAATTTCATTAATGCCTTAAACAGAAATTTTGACTAAAATGCTGACAGTTACCTGTAGCAGTTGTTTTTGTATGTGTTGTAGCTGCCTAGCACAGTAAGGGTGCCAGCACCGACTTCGTATGAGAAGAAAACCTGGGCACCAGCTTCCATCCACACCTGTCCCAACAACAGCAGTGGTAAGCACATTCGACCTGCACTCTGCTGTTACATCAATAAAACCTTACCTGAGGGTCTGTAAGTCGTGATGGATCAGGCAGAAGATAAAACATTACTCCTTCAAGAGCACCAGGTAGACAGAGTCCTCGAATCAAAAGTATTATTAGCATCACATAGGGAAAGATGGCAGTAAAATACACCACCTAGAGAAAGTAAAAACACTGTAAAAACCCAAAATATACCTTTAAGTGACAGTTTTGTGGCCCCAAAATTATACCTTTCCTGTGGACTTGACTCCTTTCCAGATGCAAAAGTAACAGATCACCCACATCACAATAAGGCACAACAGCAACTCCCACCTGATATTGCCCAACTCTTCAATACCCCCTGAGATAGACAGCACCCGTCGTCTACACATGAAAAATACAAATATTTTAAGAATTGGTTTTGTTTTATATTTATTAATCATTGAGTATTGACATACTCCCAGAATTCGGTGGCTGCAGAAGTCAAATTTGTCTTGTTGGTCCAATGGATGGTCTCATTTCCTGATGAAAAGTCTACACACTCATCTGAAACAATGGTGGTGAGTTAGGAGTTACAGTGACTTAACAGAACTTCTATAGCTGTAAACTGTTTTAACATAGTGGGGTTTTTTTACACAATGATGCTGTTGTTGTATTTTACCTGTGTTCCAGTAGTTGTTGCAGCTGGCCCATGGGAGCTGGTTGCTGAAGGAGAACACCAGGTAGAATAAAGCCCAGGACAGAATAACGATGTAAGTTATACAACTGTAGAGAATGATTAGCTGCCCACCATGGCCTATACCTGCAAAACAAGACCTTATATTTTAGAGACAATTCTAAAAAAAAAAACCTCCTTAATTTTTTAAAACATCAGTTAAACACATTTTTGCGATGATTTTTTAGAAAAACTGTTATAATCAATTTTACTGGTAAAACAAATTTGTAGATAAATAAGTTAGATCCAAATTCCAGAAAAGAGTATTAATTTTCATAATTACAATTGAACAAAAACGTCTTGAGTCTTTTACCTTCTGCAAGTGGGCACAACTTCCTCCAGCAGGTGATGCTGCCCTCCTGGGTATACTGACCGACTGCTGTCTCCAGCAGGAAAAGGGGTACCCCACAAGTCACCACAAATACAAAATATGGCACCAAGAATGCACCTGATATTAAAAATTACACACAAAATACCTGTGTCTCAGTATCATTGCACAACAATCATGAGTAATGGGTTGTTTATTTATTTGTTTATTTATTTTTATTTTTTATTTTTTAATTTAATGAAAATTTTGATCTGAAAAAGTAAAAAATATATATATTTTTGCATTCACTTGTATTGAATCCAGATGAGCAAGTTTCCATTATATAACTGTTGGAAGGCATTTTATATTGTGCAATCCTGCTTTGCCTCTCCAAATGTTTAAACTTTAGCAACAGCTCCTATTCAAGATGTCTTTAAAACATATTGGTTTGGTGTAGTATTTCTTCTGGGGTGGGGATGGGGTGGATGTCCTTGGGGGCGGCCCGGGACTGTGCATGGCCGGCTGGCTGGCCCCTTTCCTGTGGTGGGGGCTCGCTCCCGGTGCTTCCTGGCACTGTCGGCGGTTGGGCGGGCGCTCTTGGCCGGGTCGTCCTGGTGGGGTTTGGCTCCATCTGGTGGCGGGCTGACTGCGGTCTGTGGGGGTCCTGGTGGCCCTCGGGTGTGTAGGCTGCTGGTGCGGCTTGTGGCGGCCCTCGGGGCTCTGTCCCTCTCTGGTCTGGAGCTCAGCGGGCCTGGCGGTCGGTCCAGATGGAGAGGTGTCTTGGCCTCAATCCCTGGGTGGACCTTGGGGGGCTGGGGGGGGGGGCTGTTGGGTCAGTGGGGGAGCTGACTCCCTGTGGGAGCATTTGCTCTCACAGTTATTTCTCCCCATCCCTCACCATGCACCTCCACCCTCTTCATTTCAATTCTACACATTTAGGGTTGTTTGGGCTCGGGTGTGCTGCAACAATTTTACATCTTTGTTGACCATAGCCACCTGGGACTCAATTTTATTGTACACCTTAGACATTCATTCATAACATCCTCATGACATTCATATATAGGAATTTGAAGTGGGCACATGGCTATGGGTGGTGGGATGACATTACTCTCACCCCCTGTGCCTGTGCTCACTTACAACGGTTACATTTAGACACTAGGGTTTGGATAGAGTTGGGGTGGAGGGGAAACTGGCACCTTGCCAGCCTTTGCTCCTTCTTCTTTCCTTTTTAATGGCACTCTACAACAACACACATCAACAGCACATCTAGGGGTGGGGGTGTATGTGTCGGGGTCTTATTTTTATTTATTTATTTATTTTTTTTCTCTCCTCTTCCTACCCACCTAGTTCCCTGACTGCCATTCCGGGGGTGGGGTCCGGGAGAAGGGCAGGCCGTCGGGTGTTGACCAGGACTATGTGGGGGTTCAGGGTCTGGGGGTTGCCATGGGCGGTGCTGGCGCTGTGCTCTCCCTGGGGTTGTTTGGACCCCCTGAGCTTGGCTCTTGGGTGCCATGGTTGGCCCGCTG